AAACTAAACCCTAGCCTAAACCCTAAACCCTAAACTGCTGCAGGTGGACGCGGATGTTACCAGCTTCAGCGCCTGCCTGGCTGCTTGCGAGCGGGCGGGTCAGTGGCAGCTGGCCTCGCTGATCCTGTCGCGGATGCCCGCTGGCAGAGCAGTCCGGCTAATGGAGCAGTGCTACTACTACCTTAAGAACCCCAAACCTACTTTTTTGTAGGGTCCCTATAAATCCCACATTAGGGTTTATAACAAGAACCTACAAAAAAGTGGGTTTGGGGTTCTTAAGGTGTACCCTAAGGGTCCAAGTGCCCAAATAGTAGGGTTTCAGGATCCAAAAACCCACTCAGAGTATGAATTTTGAATTATTTGGGTTCTCGGACCCTCTGGGATAGACACTGAATGCAGAGGTTACAGATCTATGATGTTGTTCGTGCTTTCCCTAAACTCTAAACCCTAAACCCTACACCCCTAAACCCTAAACTCTAAACCCTAAACCCTAAAGCCTAAACCCTAAACCCTAAGCCCTAAGCCCTGAACCCTAAACATGAGCCTCCGAGCAGAAGCAAGTTTTCTGATTTTTCTCCTGGGTCTCAAACTCCAACTCTACACAGAAAACTCCAAGTCTCTGTGCTCTGCTGTAAGGGCTTAGGGTTTAGGGTTTAGGGTTTAGGGGTTTAGGGTTTAGGGTTTAGGGCTTAGGGCCTTAATAATTAGAATAGGGTTTCATGGGGTTCCTTTAAAGGCTTCTAGAAGGGCTACGATAAGGGTTTCGGGTTTAGGGGCCTTAAAAGTTTGATTAGAGCAGGGTTTGGGGGGTTCCTTATCATAACTATAGTAGAAGATACCCCCCAAACCCCATTCTAATTATTAAGGCCCCTACATTACCTGTAAACGGCTATTTTTCTGCATTCTTTCGAGGTCCAGGTAGGATTCAGACGGTTTAGGGTTTAGGGTTTCACCTTCCTCACAGGATTAGGGTTTAGGGTTTAGGGTTAAATTATGAAACCTAGTGTCATGTTGCATTGTCACTCATCCTCTTGTGTTAGTGACGCGACACTTACCCGTCGCCCCAAATCCGATAACCGCCTTAACACATGCAAGCAAATTCAATGAACCCTCAAGCGCTGAAGCGCTGAACTCTCCCTCAATTCTCAAGCGTTTACGAAACCCTTCGAGCACCCCATGGCAAACAAATTGCACGAACCTTACACAGACCCTTACGAAAGTTTCCGGGACTCCCCCCCAAGACAGCTTTATGAGGCAAATCTGATCAGCTTCCTTGCCGTCATCGGGGCGTGTGAGCGCGACGGCCAATGGGAGCTCGCTCTTCAACTCCTATCGGAGAGCCTCGTTTCAGACCCACTCTTCATATTAGGGTTTTTTGGTTTAATACAGGGGCCTATAATGATTACCTATACTATTCTTGGGGGTTCCTTACTATGATTATAGTATAATGAACCCCAAGACTCTATTCTAATTATTAAGGCCCTTATATTAGGGTTTAGGGTTGGTGTTCCTGGGCTTCGTACATGGTTTCTAAGATGAGGACCCAAGAAAGAGTGTTAACCCTGGAACTTTTCAATCCTCTTAGAGGATCCCTTGAAGGAACCTGCATAGTACCCCCCTAAACCCTAAACCCTAAACCACCCTAAACCCTAAACCCCTAAACCCCTAAATCCTAAACCCTAAACCCCTGAGCCCTTTAAGGATCCCTTCAAACTCGAAGCCCCTGGGTAACCCAGGATGTCAGCGCGAGAAGTTGAAAGCCATGTGACCGCCTTCAGTGCCTGATCCTCGCCTTTTTCGGGTGTCCCCCGGGGTTCCTTTAAAGGGGTTCCTTAAAGTTTTAGGGTTTATAGGGTTCCTTCGGGTTTAGGGTTTATAGGGTTCCTTTAAAGGGGTTCCCTTGGGGTTTTAGGGCTTATAGGGTTCCTTCGGGTTTAGGGTGTATAGGGTTCCTTTAAAGGGGTTGCC